CACAGTTGTCTATCATTTGGAATACTGAAATGGTTTCCAAATTGCTCTTCCTGCCACCATAGTGACCTCATGCTTCACAGCACACCCAAACTCACCTGCCTACTCCCAAGTCTGTTTCTGCAGAGCATGCCAGATCATTTTACAGCTTAATTTCAATTACATCTCTCCCCTATTTAAAATTGTCTAATGGCTTCCCATTGTCAATAGAATAAAACCCACACTTCTTTCAATGGTATATCAGCCCCTACAGGGTCTGGCCCTGCTCCTCAACCTCCTCTCATTCACTTCCCTGAAGGCCTTCTAGTCTTCCAACAGCTCTTAGGATCAAGAAGGGCTAACATCAATTCGAACACTGAAGCTCAGTTCTATCCTAAAGGCTTTGCCCATGCTATTCCTTCTCCTGGAATATCCTTCCTCCTTTCATGACATCTTCTAATTTTCTTCTTTTTCTCTCCCATATCCAATTTTTTCCCTCTACTGGATTTTTCCCAAATACCTCACAAACATGCTTTAACATGCAAGATAATGTACTAAAAAGAAACAAACTGATCTCTTTCTGGATCCTGCAGTTCTCTCCAGATAGCTCTTATATTCCCCTCCCCTTCATGGCAAGGCTCCTTGAAGAGTTGTCTAGACTGCATACCTGCATTCCACTTTTCCTGCTTTTCTCTTTTTAACTTTTCATTTAGAGAAGTATAGAGAAGAGTATAAAAACACTCTTGTGCCCATTAACTTCAACAATTATCAACTGTGTCCAATACTGTTGTATGCTGAATTGTTTCGTGGCAAGTCCCCAGTACATACAATTTCATCTGTAAATCTTTTAGTATGAAATTCTAGAGACAGGGACTGTATTTAAAAAATTCAACTACAGCATCTAAACAAAATTAGAAAGAGTCTTTTAACACAAATACTCCGTATCATTTCCCCAACAGTGTCAAAACAGAAGGGCATCAACTCTGTGCCCACTATTGGCTGGTGTTGGCACTATTGTAGGATCTTTTTACTCCTGACCTTTATCCTAGGTCTACCATGGAATGATTTTTCTGTTTGTACTTATTTTTGAGGGACTTTACAAATATGATTAGGTCCATTCCGTCTGATATGTTCAAAACAGTAAAAGTGCTAGAAGGTCTAAAACGATGAAAAGGCATATGAAAGTAGAGATAATTAAAACAATGGAGTAAGGTCATAAAACACATCATTTAGAAAGTGAAGAGGCAAGCCCCCAATTCAGGGACATATTTACTATATCTGTTATGAATACAATATTCATTCAGGAAAAAATAAGAAATGTTTACAAATAAGTAATAAAAATGTAGACAACATAATTTTTTAAAAAGGTGTGTCTAAAGTATTGAATAGGCTCTTACCAAGGAGGATACTCAAATGGCAATAAACAGGAAAAAATATTCATTGGAAAACTACAAATTAAATACACACATGAATGGTTAAAACTAAAAAGATTAACAAAACTGAATGTTAGCGAAGATGTTGAGAAACTGTAATTCTCATAGACAATTCAAGGGGGTTAAATAAATTCTTTTGAAAATTAGTAGTATCTATGAAAGCTGAACATACGCATACCCTTTGACCTAGCCATGCCATTCCTATGTCCATAGCCAATAGAAATATGCCTGCATGTGCATCAAAACCTGCCAAAATGTCCATTAGAGCATTAGTCATAAGAGTAAAAAGACAGAAACAACCCCAATGTCCATCAGCAGGCTTTATTTTGATAAAATCATACAATGGGATACTATACAGTAATGAGAATAAATTTTCTACATTAAAAAAATGTGGATTAAACTCACAAATATAATATTGAGCAAAATAAACCAGACACAAAAGTCATATTATATGATTCTGTTTATACAATATCCAAAAACAGGCAAAATCTATCAGTGGTGATACATGCCAGGAGAATGGTTATCTTTGGTGAAGGATTTAATGACTAGGAGACATACAAAGGCAGATGTTAGGGTGCAAATTATGTTTTACTTTTGCTAGAACTTAGATGAGTGTACTCCTACTGTGACATTTGGGCTGTACATTTGTTGTTTTATACTTTTCTGCCTTTATGTTACACTTGAATAAAAACCTTAAAAGAAAATGAAAGATAATCTTAGGCCTCTGCAGGTAGGCCCAAAGAAGAGTAGGGGAAAAGCGCTAGTGGGTATCAGCACAATAAAGATGACCATTTGCTAATGGAGGAAATATTTTCTCTTTGGTGTTGGGGGAGGCTAACATCCATAAGCTTAAATGACTACCAAGGGCATGGCCTTCAGAAGCATGAGTGACAGGGTCAGACATTAGGCATTGAGATTCAGTGAGTAGCACGGCTTCCAGACAAAGTGTAAAACCCAGTTACTTCACCTTTGAAGACACTCTGTGCACATAACTCCCAGACCAATGAGGATCCAGGTTAGGATTGCTGGCACTATTCTGTCTGCAAGGAAAAGCAAAGCCAAAACTATTTGTCTGTGCACATAGCTTTTCTTTAATAAGCCAACTAGTACAGGAAACAGTGGGCTTGCCTGTGGCACTTAACTGATGGGCACTGAAGAAAGAACTTGGATTGGCGAAGCCACACTGAGTGCTGTCCATAGCACCAGTGCACATTTCTCCTAAGAGCGACCATGAGGCTTGAGCCCACCTCATGTTGAAAACCAGGGAGCTCTCTGACATTGTGGCATTTGGAAGTGTCTGAGGGGTAGAAGCTCCTCCTGGGGGAACAAATACATTTTCTCTTTGGAAGCCAAACTTGTCTCTTCTTTCCAGGCTTGGAGCTGTAGGGCATACAGTCTTGGAATGGTGAACCAGACCTTGGAGAAGTCAGAGGTCTTGGAATGATTAGTAGAAGATGCCTTGTTGTCTAGTCAGTATTTTCCATTTATTGTGGGATAAGGAGGTTTATGTCTTGTGTAGCTCTAATATGTTTGCTATATAGAAAAGAGCCATAGAACAGAATTACTGAATTTAAGCCCTGGCTTATCTACCACTAGCTGCTGTGAGACTTAGATCTAACTTACTAAACCTTTCTCCATCTGTGAAATGAGGGGAAAGGCAGGAATCTTAGTCTACAAACTTGAGCTTATAAAAAATAATACTCGCTCTCCTTATAATCACCTCAAGTCTTGGTGTCCCAGCTAAAACCAGATGGCTCACCATAAGGGATTTATCTGAAAGGGGTTTAATGAGAGGACTATTTAGAGAGTGTGAGCATTAAGGAAATGAACAAGAGAGCGCAAAGCAGTTTTCACAAGCGCAAGAAGCTACGACCTCTCCCAAGCCTACATGGACAGGGGCAGGAAAACATTACCAGGGTCAGTGAGCCCTAAAGGAGTGGCCCCAGGAGCACAGGCCTGCCTGCACAGTGGCTGAGAGGAAGGGGACTAAGACAGTAACTATCTGAGGTCCACTCCCCTGTCCTTCTGTATCTACAGGTGTCTCCCATGGAAGGACTACAAGCAGCGGTCTGAGGACAAGAGGAAATGGGTGGCAGAGACCATAGCAGGGGGCCTTCCAGGGTACAGAGCAAGGAAGACAAGGGCAGACTGCCAAGGGGCACTCACAGAGAAAAACTAGCAAATCCCTTATTTCAGCCTCTATACCCTGTCCTGCCACAGTGGCAGTTTCAGTCATTATTTCCCCCCTGCCCCTAAAAAACCCTCTGGGGTGGGCCAAGCTCCTAGAGTCTCCCTCAGTGCCAGCAGGCCCAGTGTCAGTGGTTCATACTAGTACCTCCTGAGGGCCTGTTAGCTCAGTGCCAGGGGGCCTCCCAGGTCCAGGTGAGCTCTCCACGTCATCACCCAGAAGCTTGGAAGAAGCTGACTTCCTATGGCCTGCATTTGGCTTCCATATGGCACGTTATGATGATTTCCAGTGGGGAACAACCAAGGAAAGATGTGTTTCTTTCCCTGTCCCTCACCCATCCAGCCATCCAACCTTGTCAGCTCTGTAGCAAGCTGCAACTTTCATTAAGACCAGGAAAGCCTTCATTTTACAGCATCTTTACAAGATTTCTGCAGGCAAGGAGGTACCAAGGACCTAGATGCTTGTTTGGAAACCTGGAGGGGAACTTTCCTGAACTAATGGTCTAACCTCAGAGCCTCCCCTCCCTCTCACTTTTCTGAAGCCACAGCAGCAGCATCTGCTCCTGAGGCGGCTCTGGCTCCTTCCTGCCCCAGGGACTTTTCACTTGCTGGTCTCTTGTCTCAAGCATCTCTTTGCTAGCTTAATGCACAGCCTGGCTCCTACTTACACTTTGGAACTCAGCAAAAATGTCTTTTCCTCAGAGAAGTCTTCTCAGGCAATCTTATTTTCAAGTCTTTCAAGCAACACTTTTTTTTTTCCTGCCAGAATCCCAAACTATCTTGTGTATTTATTTACCAGTTTATCGTCTCCCCCAACTAGACTTCGATCCTGTTTATCTCATTATTATCCTTTATGCTAGCCCAAATTCCTAGCACATAGTAGGAGACTTAATGCATTTTCATTGGATGAATGAAGAAATGAGTGAATGGATCAATAAAACCATTTGTTGAAATGAACATCCATAAATTATCTTGCCACACTGCCTACCTCAGAGGTTTATTTTAAGGACCAAGTGAAGTGAGTTACATGAGAGGGCTCCAAGTGTCACACAAGTGTTAGTACTGTTATTCTCCCCTTCTCATACTTAAGTTTGCTGACTTTACATTTTGTGCTCAGACTGTATTGCTAATAATACCAATTCACAGACATGCTACCCTGGCTTCTTGTTTTCTGAATACTTTGCTTAAGGCTGCCACTGCAGGAAAGGGTAGGAACTTGCCTTCTCCTCCTTTTTCTCCTCTTCCTTGTCCTCAATGCCACCTTTACCCCCACCCCAAGCAGTGGCACATCCTTGGAAGAAAATGCCAAGGTGGTTGGGAAGTGTTTGATGGTTGTCAGACCGCTATGCTCACAATGTGCATTCGAGTACCAGACCCAGGAACATTGGCAGGATGCTGCTTTACCTGAGTCTGTGCTTGAACAAGCCTTGTGCTCAGGACTGCTATCCTCAGGATGTCCATCTAGTGCCAGAAGCAGGGGAGGGGCAGGCAGCTGAGGCTGGGAAATAACAACGCCAGGGCTCATGCTTATGGAGTGCCTCCAGGGTCCCAAGTCTTGCAGTAAATCTATGCTTATGGCCTGTCTTAATAAATTCTCTCAAAAGTCTTTTGCAGTGATTATTATTCCTTCTCATTTCATAGATGAGGAAATGGAGGCCCAGAGAAGCGATATAACTTGCCCAGGCTCACACATATGGTAGTAGTTTTCCAAACTCACACATGTGGTAGTGGTGAACCTGGGACTTGAACTTATGGTCTAACCTCAGAGCCCAGGTTCTTCCCACCCAAGAGGAGAATAAATTTGCAGAGATGAAAACACCGAAATACATAGAAAAACAAATATATATGAGAACCGATTTTGGAAGAAGAAAAGCACTGAGATGGAAAAGATGAAATCACCATCCTTTTATTTCTGTTTTCTAAGAGCACAGATCACATTACTTTCCCAAATAGCATGTCTCTATTTTGTCTCGAGGAGGGTGCTACCCTATCGCTCAGGACCAGTGAGGGGTACCAAGTGCAAGGCATTTTATGAAATGTGTACTCTTCTTTGTTCCCTGCCTCTACCCACTACCCTAGTCAATTTTCATGCTGAATACAGCTCAGTTTAGTAGTGTTAGAGTTCTCCAAACATATGAAAAAGACACAGATTTCACTGCCTCTCTTTCCTTTCTTACTTCAGTGAAGCCACAGCATTACCAGGTTGACTAAAGTAAAGAAAAAAAAAAAACCACAATTATTCCTGTCAGAATTTTTCTTCTCATGGCACTTAAGGAATTCGGATGGTACGGCAAGACAGACAGGCTTTTAAAATTCCTGTATTGTTGATGCCTGCTTGGTGACGGATACTGTCAGTGGTCCAGCTGCAAGCTGAGCCCAACAGATCTCTTCTGCACGTACGGCAGATGTCAGTGGGTAAGTTAGCTTACCTTTCCACTTAGCTCATGGATTTCTGTGTTATCACAGATCCATTTTCATGGCAAATTTAAGAGAAATTCCGAATCAAAGAAGAATACACAGAAAGATAGAGGAAGATGAATAGCAATTGTTCCAAAGACACGACGAAGTCACTAAATACACACAAACACTTGAGCTTGCCAGCTCAGCGTCTCTCTTGCTCACTCTCTGACCATCTGTCTCTGTCTCTCTGTCTCTGTCTCTCTCTCTCACACACACACACACACACACACACAGAGCCTTAAAGTCATATGCTTCTGTAAAATCACCTAAAACATGCTTTGCAAACACCATTTATCAAAATACCCTTAGTCCCAGCTTCAGTCATTTTCTCCTTATTCTTTATAAAAATGTCTTTACCCTAGATATTTCTTCACTATAGAATGTGAATTATTTTCTGTGAACAACTGCAGAGGAGAACTGAGTGTGTCTATAACCACAATCATAGCTATACTTTATTTATATTAAAAAATTAAAGTGTGCAAACCTTCCTCACCATCTCACATCCAATGCCAAATTCTGAACTTTGAAGTGTTTGTCCAACCTGCCCATGAAGGCAAAAGACTGTTCTCTTGTTTTCACTCTGTGTATGAAACTTCTCTTGATTCTTGTACATGATTTACAATCCATGTCTGTTTTGGTGGCATTTATGTCAAATTTTCCCCATTGACCGTATGCTCCTGGTGGACAGAATCCTGCTGTACCACTCCTCACTCTTACATGGCTTCACAACCCAAAGCATCATTGCTAAATGTAGAGGCCTGGTGTAATACTGCCAGCCAGGAAGGATGCTCCTAGTATTTGCCTAATCTTGTACCACCAGCATTATTAAGGAATTTGGTCCAGTGAAAAACATGCCATCAAGATTTCTCACACTGGCTTTATTCCAATGCAATATCTGCACTGTAAATAACAGTCCCCTCAATCGTCCCGTGCTTCCAGCATTAGTCCCATAGTCTGTACCTTGAAGTCACTCTCAGGGCGTTCCAAGTGCTATTCATGCGGAGTAGGTGACCCCTCCTTTGGGCATGGATTGTGCTTAGGGTGGGCAGACGTAGTGACAGTGAGCTGGGCATCTCTCATGGTATTTTTCTGATTGTGTTTTGACATTTAACTTTATTTCTAGCATAGTTTTATGAAAAACAGTATTTATATTTTTTCAAAGTATTTTATTGCTTTCTAAATTTATAATTTATTGAGATATAATTTTGCATATAATTTGCATATAATAAAGTTGCATATAATAAACATATAAAATAGACACTTTGGCTAGTTTCATGTATATGCCAATGTAACTACCACCATAGTCAAGACACCAAAAAATTCTATGACTCCTAAAATTTCCTTGTGCACTTTTTCAATCCATCACTAACTTGGCCACCCCATTCCTAGGCAATCATTGATCTTCATTCTGTCTCTATAGATGAGTTTGTATTTTCTAGGATTCTATGTAAATGGAATTATTTTTAGTCTTCACTCAGCAAAATAATCTTGAGTTTTATCCATGTTGATGTATGTTTCTGTAGTTCATGCCTTTTATTTTTAAAAACGTATTTTTAGTTGTAGTTGATATACAATATTATATTGGTTTCAAGTATGCAACACAGTGGTTCGACAGTTATCTGCATTATTAAGTGCTTAACCCAATAAGTATAGTTACTATCTGTCCACATAGGAAGATATTACAATATTATTGACTATATTCTCTATGCTGTAGTGCATTCCTTTTAAATGCTGAGTAGAATTCCACTGTGTGATGTACCCCATTCTGTTTATTCATTCAGCTGCTGATAGCCACTCAGATTATTTCTGGTTTAAAGCTACTGTCAACTTCTGTGTGCAAATCTTTGTGAGGACATAGGGTTTCATTTCTCTTGGGTAAATCCCTAAGACTGGAATTACTGGGTCATAGCATAGGTGGACGGCACGTTTAATGTTAGAACAAAAGAGTCAAACTGGCTTCAAAAGTAGCTATAACCTTTCACACTCCCACTAACTATGTTCTGACAGGTTGATCCACATTCTTACGAATATTTGGTACTGCCCGTCCTTTCACTGGAGCCAATCTCAAAAACATGAAATGGTATCTCATTGGGGTTTGATTTGTATTTCCCTGATGATGAGTGAAATCAACCATCTTTTCATAACATATTGGTCAGTTATAGATCTTTTGTGAAATGTCTGCTTAAATCTTTGTCTATTTTTTCTTGAAATGTCATTCTACTTCATCTTGGCTTGTAAGCGTTATTCATATGTTCTAAATACAAGTCCTTAGACTAAATTTATTTATTAGTCACTACAGCATTCAAAATCACTTTGTTTCAAACACAAACAAAAGTGTGTTTGACTACCGTTGCTTGATTAGACATCGGAAATCTTGATAAGGAAATGCTGTAGCTGGGATCATGCATTAAATATTTATTTAGTACCTTCTAAGTGCCAAAAACTCTGTAGGCCCTAGTAAAATAAACACCACTGATAAAATACTTGCCTTCAAGGAGCTCACTGTTAAAGGGGAAACCAAAACATTTTTTTTAAACCTACAATAGAATAATGATAATAATACTGGAGTGGAGAAGAGGGAGCAGTAAAACTATTTTGCCTAAAGGTACAGATCAACAAAGACTTTGAGAGGAGATGCCATTTGAGCTGAGCATTTAAGAATCAATAGAAGGATGCTATGTACAGAAACTATGTAAAAAAAAGAGTATGATCCATTTGAAATATTGTATTATTTAAAGAAATATATCATTCTTTTATTTGCACCTGAATATCTTAAATAAAAATTGGAACATATCACCATAGGACCACTGGATTATCTGGGAACAGCCCTACAAACATCAGTTACGATGAGGCTGAATTTCCCTAAATATGGGTACCTTTATAGGAAAGGCACATATTCCATGGTCCCAAGTTTATTACCTTGTACCTAGTGGTATGCAGTAAATATACTAGGTAAATGTAATACTAACAAAATAAATATTTAAATTAATGAACTAAATGAATGCTTTAGTGTATTTTGAGGGATTCAAAAATGGGAAAACACACTTTTTTAATGAACTAGTAAGGCAGAAAAGCCCTGTGCCCATGGGTATAATAGACATAAATGACAAACACAGGAAAAAAGGTACTTCATTTCTAAAGCTTTCCCATACCTTCCATTCAGGGAAAAAAGTTGTAGCCCCTGCTGAGCTACAACAGCATATTAGTCATATCCTTGTAACAGAACTTCTTTATACAGGACTGTCGGGTTAATAGACTGAATTAATGCACATAGGGACCATATTTTATTTTTCTTTGCATTTCCAACATTTCTTGCTATAGCTCAGTTCCTTATATATATTAAGTATTCAACAAATACCTATTGTTTTGGAAGAAAATTGAAAATACTTAAATAGAATCCTATACCAATGTCATGTGAGATATGCGTATAATATCCTATGGAAGGTCAAAGGAAGAAGAGGCTAATCACATCAGGCTCAGATGTGGTGGCATTAGAGAGGGCCCTTAATGGCAGGGGAGGATTTGGGCAAGGTGTAAGATGGGGAAAGAAAACTTCAAGTAAAGGAAACAGTATGAGCGAAGTGGATCACAACCAGGTTTCTAAGGGAAAAGAGCCCAGATTGATTTGGCCAGTCCTGAGGACTCATTTAATGGGGTCATTAAACAGGTGCTATTCCACACTAAAAGGAAGTACAGATTATGAAACACTCTGGCAAGGAAGAACCCCACCCCCACGTACTAAGCCAGCAAGCAAGCTCATTTGCCAAAGCTCCATAGCTGCCAAACTGAGACAAGACTCAATGGAACCAAGCAACAGTTTGTAACTCTCAGCACAGAGAACAGCAGGGCCATGGTGTGCTGGTTCCCCGTTCCCAAAGTCCTGTCCTAGAATACTCCATCCCAAAGCAGTGACACAATGGCCACAGATGACACCTACACATGCATCGATCATGTGCCCCAAGGGCTCAAGGCTTGGCACCTTTTGAAGCAAGCAGTAAGCAAGCAGGTCCCTTCCCCCAGGGAGCAAGAAGTCTCAGGGCAGCCAGGCTCCAGTTGCCTCAAGCT